TAGCTGTGCCTGTTGGGGGGGAGGGGGGGGGGGGTGGGGGCGGTGGATGGGACTCGTCTGGTTCCACCATAGAATAGCAGGAAAAAATATATATATATATATATATATATATATATATATATCCCATGCCGTCCCAATCACGTGAGTATTAAAGTTGACAATTGTTGAAAAACTGGAAAAGAGCGAGTCCGTCAAAGTCGAACCGCGAAGTAGCGAGTGACTACTGTATCAACCATTTGACAGAACATGACTTTCAAAAACAATACTAGACTACCAATTTAAATTATTTATTTGAACATTTATTGTTCCATAGTGGAAAAATTTTACCTACACAAGGCCAAACTTATAACTACATCCATTTTTTTTAAACTTTACATTAAATGAGAGGTTGAACGGTTGAAATGTGGAGACCACTGAGTGTTTTAATGGGACACTGATTCCAATATTTACACTTACACTTCACATTTACTTCTTGTCACTGTGGCCAAAGAGCTCAATCTGTTTTATCTGACCCTGGAAGTTTTATCCAGAAAGCATTTGGCTCTTTGGCAAAATTCAGTCATGTTTAAAGATGTCACTTTTAGAGCATGAGCTTTTTCCTTCATTGGCATCATCTAGAGTCCATAGTGATGGGAAGACTGGCTTCATGTGGACAAAGACACTTGTGTTTTAGCAGTTTCCAGTTCATAGCAGGCCTCAGTGGTTCCTGGGTTGTCCTAACCATTTTTTTTGTCTTGGATGAATGATTTTAATTAATCCTGGGAAAGAAATCTGAATTTACTCAAATCAAAATTAGCAGATTATGGCTTCACAAAAATCAAAAATCTGAACTGACACGGAAATCTGATAGATAGGTTTCTATTATTATTAATAATATTAATATTAACTAAATATCTTTATATTTCTGTAAAAACTATAAGGCAGTTTAAGAAATCATTTTTTAGCTATTAAAACAAATTGATATCAAAAATATTTACTATTCAAGATAATTTTGCATTCCATTTAGTTATAATAATAATAACAATAAGAATTAATAAATATTTTTTATTATTGTTATATTTATTTATTTGAAAATGCATATTTATGCTATTTTACACATTTAGTAGAGTAATGTTAAATGTTCATGTGGGACATTGTGATAAATGGAGGCAGTTATTATTTTTTATTTTGTTTTTTCAGCAGCTCCACAACGACCTACGTGCTGGAGGATGATGAACCATCCTTTCTGGAGGCGATAGATTACAGCGCAGAAAGCAACGATGAGGATGCAGAGCCTGAAAATGAACTCTGCTGCGAAGTTCAGGAGAATTTAGAACAGCTGTCGGACTCTGAAACCAACCATAGGGTCTAGTGGTAATTAACTTTGAACCTGCCAGGCTGACCTTTGAACTAGTCAGTGCTTGGATTAATAAGTGAACAAAGTTTCACAAGAGAAATGGAAAGAATCCTCACTCGTCACAGATTCATAGCTTAGAGTTACACTTGAACTTTTGAATTTATCAAGTCAGCTCAGCGTAGCCGACTTATTGCTTCTAACGGTGCAAACACCATCTGCCTTTGTCTTCAGATAAATTTAAGTATCAGAATAAATTACAGTGAAGGTTTTTACCTTTAGTCACCAGATCATATCAGATTCATAAACCTCAGACACCATATATCCTCTGAGATTTGCATGGAAACAACAAACTCAAGCAGCAAGTAACACTTTAGTTTTTAACCCCCTCTTATTGATTAAAACATGTTCAAGTGAGTCTCTTCTCATCGGCTAAGAGACTAAACAAATTGCCTTCTTGGCAAAACATCTGTCTGTGTCCCTCATGTGTCTTCTACAATATTCTACCCGTTCTCACATGTAAACCATCCGTCACTGGCCACCTTCCATTTGGTGCAATATCTAGTGCGCTGTTTGCCTTTCTTTATCCAATAATTACAAATATTTATATCACATGAATGTAAAATGAAAATGGACCTTGTATTCTACACAAATTATAGATGTACACACACACACCAGGCTTAGACGTTCTCAGACACTTGGATAAATATACCATATCCACATCTGTTAGTGATGCCTCTGTTTATAAATGAGCAGTGTTCAAAAGCAGTATTGAACATTCAGCGATGAAATGAAAGCTTTAGTGTCAGAGACCAGTAAACTCTATTTGCACTTTTTGTAGAAAGTAAACACTTGAACAAATCGTACGAGCATAAAAATCACTTTAGGTGTCGCAAAGAGAAAACTCTGAAGTCCTCGGAGCTCAGCAGAAGGTAATTGCTGTATTGTTTCAACAATTATACTGGAATTGTACCTCCTTTTTCACAGTTTTCTCCTGTGTGTACATTTTGCTAATGTGCAGAGTCCCATGCATAAAACAGATGGTGCTGTATATCAAGACTGTGGAGTAGTTTGAATTCTGCTTTAAAATGTATGTAAATGTGTTTCTGTTGAATTTGTACAGATAGTGCATGGTTTTCTGGGATCTTACTTTTTAAATATTTCTAATTTATGCAGTTTTAAGATGCATCCTGCATGTTTGAGTCATTTTTGGTGTATGAAAGCACAGCGTGTTTCAAGTTATTCCATTATTCAGCTCAGCTAATGCTCTTAAAGTGTGCTTTTTATTAATTTGATTCTCCTTTCACTTTGCTCCTTTTTAAATATTTTCAATTTCCTCTTCTTCATCCGTCTTCTTTTTTTGTTCTTTGCTTTGTGTTCCTTTACATGTTACAGTTTTATTGTGAGTGTACATGTGCATGTACAATGTGAGTGAACTCATTTTATGCTATTTTATGGGAAATCTGTGTTAATTTATGTTTATATTTGTTTATTTTGTTTGTTTGTTTGTTTGTGTTTGGCAGTAAACAAGCAGAATGGTAGCCTATTTTAAGTTAAGTGTGTGGCAGACAACAGATGGTAAACGTAAAGGCTTGGGAAATAAAATGTGAATAAAATAAACGACAGCATTTATTCATTTTTTATCTTCACCTGAACACTTTACACAAGAACATAATGGTGTTTTTATCCTTAGCTTTTAAAAATATAAACCTCTGTCCTAGTGAAGTGTTCTCCTTCCAAAGCTTGAGATGAGTGCAGTCTACAAAGTACAAAAACCTGAAGATAAAACATCTAAAACTTTAAAACCTGTTTTCTATTTAGCCGTTGGAGTGACATTGTTGTTCTGAGTCATCCCTCATTTCTTTATTTTCTGTTTCCAAGCAGTCAGACTGTCTCAATTGTTTAAAGTGGTTTGGTCATTTGGCTTTTCTAAGTCTTTTGTTTTTATTTTTATATATATTTATTTATTGTCAGGTTATTTTAGCTATTAGTTAGAGAAAAGAGATTTAAACTCGGATTAAAAAACAAAAATGTTTTAACCTCTTTTCTTGAAGAAGGAAAACCCCACAAAGGTGAACAACAAACAACTTGAAACTCACAAAAAAAATAATGGATGAAAAAAAA